AGCAGTAGATCTCAATGGCGTCAAGGATAGATGGTACTGATGGTAATATAAGACGCTGATGCTACTACTAATCTACTATCATTTCAAAACTCTACCAAACAACCAGTATCAAAGCCTGGTCTTCATTCTCGGTTTTTCTTTTCTTTTCTTTTCTTTTATTTTTGATATAGAAGAGGGATATTAAGAGCAAAAACACAGAAAAGAGAAACCTAGGGAATCTATCAATAATAATAGATCCGTATCAGGGCGGAGCCAGAGGGACCCAGGAAGCCATGACCTCCCCTATGGTCCAAAAATCCCCCTCTAGGATAACTTGTCATGTACATGATGATTTGCCTGACCCTTTTAGTGCTTCAATTGTCACCTTGGAACCACTTAATCCAATTTACTTTCTTTTTGTTTACCTCCGATAGGCCTAGGGCTAGTTGGGCTTTAACAAATTCTTTGCAAATTTGGAGTGTCATCTTTCATTTTCTTTTAAGTATCTATGGAGGCCCTGTAGTTGAGTTTACATCTCCGCCCCACATACAACACGCCCCACAGTACATCCCTGCCATGTATTGGAAACATCTCCTGATGATAATATCGGAACTGATGATATCATCACCGGAAAATGTTCTCAGTACACTACGGGGATGTACTATGGGGGATATGATTTTTTATTATCCTCCAAGCCTGGGAGGCCACTAGGCAGTTAAGGAGGATATGAGCCATATCCTCAATCATTCCACAAGATTTACATTCTAGGTCAATTTTATATCCTCTTTTCGAGGCCACTAGGCATGTTATTTTTTCAATATTTTGAGGATCCTCTTTATTTTCCCGTCAGGCTCTATCTCGTTATTGAGGAGATCATTGGCTGATTTAACTCATAGCACTCCATTTGGCCTCGACCTCCAAACAATCTCGTCCTACGACCTTCTCAATTTTAAATTAGGGGCCAAACTTTCTTGATCAACAATACAATATGCACAGAAATAAATGAATAGTTGTCTTTAACTCGTTTTGGAAAGCTATAAAAGCTTTATAAAGAAGAAAAGAAGAAAAAAATGAGGGTATCTTTTTTGAAAATCAAATAAAATAGCATTATCAAAAAGCTAAATACAAATAGACAAGTTGAGTAAACACACCATCTCTTCCGAGCTTAACAACTTGCACTTTGCAGCTGTAGTATGAGCATAGGCATTCATATACTAGTTGGGACCAAGGTTTAGAGTATCGAAAACGTAAGGTGTATCGAAAAGATAATTTTAAGAGACGTATCGGGATACACTTTGGATACATATAGATACGGGCGAAAAATCAAGATACACATAAATATGCTAAAAGCTCAAATAAATCCTAAAATATATATAATAACAATAGTTACAAGTTTTATAAGATTGTAAATAAATTATTTAAAAGTAAAAAAAAAACTGTAATTTAATGGTCTATATAAAATTCAAGAATCAAGATATTGGAACACTTAGTAACTATTCACAAATAATGGAATAACTAAAATGTGAAAAAACAAAAAAAACTAAAATGTATATTGATATATATTAGTTTCAAAACAATCAATATAATTTATCTTCATATTTATTAATACATAAATTTTAATAATTAACTCTAACATTTATTGATAAGCATGCACTAAGAAAAAGAAAAAAATTATTTAAAAATAAACATGCATAAACCTATAACAAGCAAATGGGCATGACTTAGTGGTGAAGCTCTAGTTGTTAAAGCCTAATGTCCAAGAGAATTCCAATTAATTAATGAATTTAATGAGAAAGAGGGTTATTAATTAACGAAATTAATGAGAAGAGAATTCCAATTAGGCGCTAAAATTGAAATTGAAATTTAAAATTATGCCTTAATTATAGGAGTAATTAACTTATTAGTGAAAGAGAAACTGCACATAACTATAGGAGTAAATATAAAATTAATGAGAGGTAATTTGGCCCTAAATATAGGGCCCGATACAGACTGATACATACGAAAAGGAACGCTATAGATAATTTCTATGCGTTCCTGTATCGGACTTATTAATCCTCACTAACTTTAATTAATTATATTAAGCTTTTATGTTTTAGTGAAAATTAAATTGGTTTTTAATTAGTAGAAGCTAGTTATAAATTAATAACTGTTAGATAATTTTGTATTAGTTTTATATTAATTTTAAATGTATTTTAAATGGATAGTAGTTTTAATTTATTTTATGTTTTATTAATTAATTTATTTTTATTATATTATAAAAATATTTTCATCAATAATAACAATTAATGATCATTTTTATTTTATTTAAGTAATTCACTAAATTATTTTTTATTATTTTCAAATGGAATATAAATGGACAATAATTTTTGTGATGTTTTATTAAATGTTTTCTACCCATCATTGACTTGGATGATTGAACCATTCATATCATGTCCCGGGCCTATTTATAATTCCAGGTTTTCCAAAACCTACTATTTTGCCAAAAAACCATTGGTTTGAGTTGTTTTGGTACCATTGTTGTTTCTTTGAGAAACATTTGGGGGTTGATCAATAGAAATTAGTCTTAAAATATAAGTTGCCATGTCACACAATCAAAAACATTTTAGGTTGATCAATACAAATTGTTGTTGTTACTTGAAACATCAAATTTAGTGTTTCAACTCTAAACAACAATGATAGGTCCCCACTAGTCTGTCAATGATCTAGTAGTCAAACCCATAGAACAGCAGCATTCTGTGATATGACCAATGGGCTGCTTTGGGGATCCACCTGGGGCGTCTTGGGGTGTAATTTGGTTGGGCCCAACATGAACCTGATTGACCTAGCTTGTAATTTTACACGGGTTAATTGGGATTAGATTTTTGGTTTTTGGGTTGTGTTTGCGTCCAAATATTTAATCTTTTTTTTTTTCTTAATTTTTCAAGCCAACTCAAGGCCTCGCCCTTTGGCAGCCTGAGCTCTACCCTATCTTATTCCGACCCAAGCCCAGCCTGTCTATGTACATACATATATGCATATTATCTTTTGATAAATCATACACATGTATACATGGATACATATATACACACATTTACATTAAATTTTAGTGTAAACTGGTAGACCAATCTATATGCATCAAATTTCAATTCAAGTGAGATTCGGGTTGAACTTAAACCCAACCTATCTTGCCCAAATTGGACCTGGGTTAAGCTTAAACCCAGCCTAACCTGTCTAACTTGCACCCCTAGGGGCTTCTGACCATCTGTATGTATAAGTCGTCCAATAAAACTCAGCTCATCTAACTCATTAGAACACTTATTTTCTGTTCATCCACCTCATCTTGCATAACAACGATATGTTATACATCTAATGCAGTAGTGACAAATCTTGCATTTGGCTTTCAACTTATAGCTTGAAACCTTAATATCTATCTTTCGCTTGTAAAAAGTCAATTTGAAAGGAGTACAAATGCAAATATGTAAAGTGCAAAATCTTATATTTTATATGTATTTGTATTGTACATATTTGCATTTATCTGCCAAAGTTTCATATTAATTCTAACAATTATAACTCACTTAAACATGGATGTCCACGTAAGGCTATATTCGCTACTTTTTTTTTTCTATTGGATACATTATTTTCTTTTCATTAAATTAAGAAAATATAAACCAAAATCCCATATCACAAACTAGCAGAAGCCGATTGTTACAAAATGTCTTCGATTTGGCTTTTGGCTTACAACTTGATGAAAACCCTGATATCTCTCTTGCATTTGGGACAACTTTTCACGTTAATTTTAAAATCTAAAACTCGCTTAAACACGAAGGTCCAAGTAGGGTCTTTTTCGCTACTTGATCCATCTATTTCCTTTTGGAAAAGAAGAAAATATAAAATAGTCCCATAGGAAAAATCAACCCTTACTATATCTACTACTACTACCACATCATTGTCATGCACAATTGTTCCTCCTTTTTTCTATTCAACTAAGTTGATCAGGTTAACATATTCTGGTTGAAATTGAAAAGCCAAATCGAAAATTTCGGTTTTAATTTTCTTTAGTTACCAATTTTGGTTCTTAAATCTAAAAATTTAACTAACAAAATTTTATTGTGGGATAATATTATATTAGTGAAGTTTATTTTTAACTGAAATAATGGAATGAGGAATTTGGTTTGATTATTTTGATTTTTACTTAGTTTAGTTGTTTTCGATTTTTTCTCTTAAAATTTCAGTTAATTCAATTTCAATTTATTCAGCTTCGTTAGAGAATATCAACATATTCAAGGACTTCACCTAACAGTTTAAACCTTTAGGTTGAATACTTCTTTGAGATGATACCAGAGCCACTTTGACCAAATGGTATAGTGTTTGATCCTCATTACCCCTATTCTAATTAATTAAGTTTCAGCACAAGGTATGAATGAGCCTATGTTTGTTCACACTTCAAGCCCAATAGACCTCTCGTGTGAGGGAATGTGTTAGAGAATATCAACCTATTCAAGAACCTCACCTAAATGCTTAAGATTTTAGATTGAATGGTTTTTTGAGAAACTTGACTTTTAATCAAATAAACCCAATGGTCCCTTATTGATGATTGAATATTTTTTGTTCATTTCCAACAGAGCCTAGTAAAAAACTGCAAACTACAAATCCTTTTGGTAATATCATATGTTGATCCGTCACATGATTTTGATTGGGTAAAACACACATCTATGTTTAATCACATTCATCATCTTGCTGTATCTCTATACGCTAAACATGAAGGACTAGAATGTTAGAAAAACATAGAACTAGTTAGAGTGTCACGGTGCCGGCATGGGTTTTTCTTTGGCTATTTTGTTCTACTTAAAAACCCAAAACATCTTTGCATCAACTACTAGAATCAGTGGTTGAATCAGAAAGCCACTCAACCTAGCTAGTCAATGGTACAATAACAAAAGTAGTGATTGCAGTGTTTATATTTTAATTATAATTTCATGTTTCAAGTAATTAGCTAGTGTGAATAATCTGTAAGGAAAAAGGTTATTATTCTCAACAAAATATCAGAACAAAAGCAAACCCCACAATATTTGACATTTATAGAGATAATATATTATTATTCAAATATAAGCAAGAAAGAAAAAGAAAAAGAAGGGAAAACAACTCTGCCAAACATACATAGCATATTTGCACCAGCAATACGTGTAACCTCCAACTCAGCAAGAATGCAACAGCGATGAAGCAGGAGAAGCATCAGTAGAGAACATGGTTGACTTGGAGGAGGAACCTGCTGCAGATGATGATATTTCAAGTACAGATGCGTCTGGTGGCAGGGCAAAAGTAGGTAATGATATCTTGGATGGGATTACAAGCAATTGAGCTTCGAATCTAAGAACATGCATCACTTCCCTCATAGAAGGTCGACGATTGTAGTCGGGGTGAACACACCAGAGCCCGACAACCATCAAGTGCTCCACCTGCTTTTCATCAAAATTTTCTGTACTCGTGAGCCTCGGGTCTATTGCTTCACGAAGCATTCCTTGTCCATAGAGCTCCCGCACCCAATCTACCAATATTACTTTACCTTGTCCAGCAGATGGTTCTACAGCCCTTCTCCCACATGCAATTTCCAAGGCAACAACTCCGAAGCTATAAACATCAGATTCTTTGCTAGCTTTCCCATTAACTGCGTATTCAGGAGCCATGTAACCCTTCGTACCGGCCAACACCTCTGTTATCTCTGCCCCTTGCTCATGCTCTACAAGCTTGGCCAACCCAAAATCTCCTAATTTAGTTTGGAAGCTAGAATCCAACATAACGTTACTGTATTTAATATCTCTATGCACGACGCATTGCTCCCACTCTTCATGAAGATAGAGCAGAGCAGAGACCAAGCCAAGAGCAATATTGTACCTGACCTTCCATGTCAACAAGGTTTTAYCTTTGAAGAGATGAGAATCAAGGCTACCATTGGGCATGAACTCATACACCAGGAGGAGTTCTCTCTTTTTGTGGCACCAACCAACAAGTTTCACCAAATTCCTGTGCCTTAGCTGACTGATGATCTTTACCTCTGCCTTGTATTCTTTTWTCCCTTGCTTAGATCCTTCAGAAATTCTTTTGACAGCTATATCCAACTTACGATCACTCAAGAAACCCCTATAAACTCCTCCAAATCCTCCCTCTCCAAGCTTCATTTCCGCATTGAAATTATTTGTTGCACGCACCAATTCGGCATATGAGAACTTCTTGGGTCCCGTTTCCCTTTCAAAATCTTCGTCCATTGAGGCATCGGGCGACCTATTCCTTTTCTTTTTCAGGACTAGCAAAATCATAACCAAACAACCAATCAAGGCACTTGTACCAACAACCAACCCCACCACCAAACCCTTGTTTTGCTTTGAATTGTTGCTATTCACCAAGCTTGAATTAGTTCCAGTCTCAGAATTTCTTATCTCCAAGCTTGAACTGAAATTCCAGGAGAGAATACTATGGAATTCGAAACTCCATCCTGTTGAAGCAGAGAAGCCAATATTAACACATTCCGGCAATTTATTTCTCAAATCTACCCTATAGGAGAGGCTAAGGGTCTCACTTCCCTTCGTTCCGTCAACATATATCAAGAAAACACTCAAGTCTTTTGTGCTAGAATTATAACTGACCTGAACATCGCCTTTCACCTCGTTTGTACCATTAATATCCCATTGAACTTCTTTAACAGATATGATTGCATTAACGTCAATACCTACATGACGATATTTTGGGTCTTCTCCATCATTTGAGTATGTATCAAACTCTACTGCAACAGCTTGATTCTCACCTGCATTGGTTCCAGTCTTATTGTCAAAAAGACCAAGGAATTGACCTGACGAAGAAGCAATGACATTAGTATCAGCAGTTGGAAGAGGAGGGAGGGAGGAATTGGGAGCAAGGAAGAAGGTGAATCCGTCGCCCGGCATATATTTAGAATCCTTATCAAAGGAAAGGGAAAAGGAGAAATGGGTGATGAAGTCTGTGAGGTTGTTGGTGGCATTGTCCCAGAGGTGAATGGGTTTTTTATATATGACTCGACCGGCACTGGAATTAAAAGCTTTGATAGCTTCTGCTTTGGTGAGTACAAGTGTATTCGAAGAGGAGCGGTAGGCATGTCCCTGAAATTCTAGTTCGTCTGCCATATCCGATGGAAACTTGGGGTAGTTGAAGGATAATGGTGTTGCAGAGACGATAGAGAATGAGAAGAATAAGAAAATGTGGAACAGAATAAGAACTAAGTTTGAAGATTGGAGGTGGGAGTTTGATGAGTGGAAGAGAGCCATATAGTTGGAACTTGGGAATCGCCAAACTGGATGTAATGGAATTACCAGTGTTAGCAGTGGATCTGAATTGGGCGAATCCTAAATATAAGACTTAATGAGAGGGAATTAAATAAGAATAAATATAATATTTTAAATTAAATTGGGACACAAATTTACAAGAATAAGATTTAATGAATGTTAACGGAAATTAATACCTTAAATATAAGACTTAATGAAAATAATTTGAATGAGAAAAAAAATAGTTGATCAAATTATTTTTTTTCCTTACAATTAAAGAACAAATAAATACAAAATTAATATATTTCAGTCAAAAGACATTTTCAAACTATCATTAAGACTTTTAAAATATACCAGCACCAACCCACCCAATTGCCACCCCCAAATTAGGCTCTAAATACAAAATTAATAATTTGAATCCGATTCATTTAAATTACATTCGGGTATTCATTTATCCATAAGCAGATCAAAAAATATTGATCCATTGATTAATTAGATCAAATCTGGATATTGCTAGCCCAGCTGTCTATTACATTAAATGCTAAAATGGTTTAATTCTCCCAATTTTATTATTATTTTCCGTATAAATAGTCATAAGATACACACGTAGAAATAGAGAAAGAGAGAAGGAGACATTCGTTGACATGACTTGATTTGACATAGGAATTCACAGGCCAAAATAACCGGGTGCCCACCCTTCCTTTTGGGCAAAACATGTGGATGAGATTAAATAACTATTAATCATATCCTCCCCAATTATTTTTGGTAGGTTCTGTAATAATTCGTTTTCGACCGCATGTAAGAGACTCTTAAATGGAGAAGTTTCAGATGAAGCTTCTCGTGTTTTGAGCCTTTATATTCTTCGTTCGTGTGCCAAGAAGCACACGGTCGCTATTATGAACAGTATCCTTTTCAATGTAAATCCCCGATTCACCCAACCCTCGTAGAAGTAGAATCCTCAAAAGGTATGCTCGTTGTTAACACCTGATGTTTATTCGGTTCACTACCAAGTTTAAAACCAAGATTCCCTCATTTTTTTCTTTATTAAATTAAGATTCCATTTCAAGCCCTTTTATTAACAAAGCATTCGTAGTCTAAATCTCCTTGATCTCAGCCTCTCTGAGCCCATTAGATTCTTGACATCCAAAAATATCTACCCACTAAGTTTTAACCTAGGATTTTCATTTTCCCCTTTATCAAGTGAAACTTTCATTTTGACTCCTCTCATTGGCCACAATTATCCTAATTTAAGATTTCTATCACGACACAACCTCCAAGGCACCAAAACCCTACCATTACCTTTCTAAACTTATAATTAACCATCCGCTAAATTTTAGCTCCAAAATACCCATGTTACCCCTCCTATATCCTAATTCAAGATCTCTAAATCATATCATCACCTTTTTAAACCTTCCAATCAACCTCCTATCAAATCATAGATCCAAAAATACCCATTTTACCCCTTATACACAAAGATTCCAAATCAAGCACTCTCATTAGTTGCCTCTTTCCTAATTCAAAATCTTCATCGTGGCATAGCTTCTGAGACCGCCAAAACTCACTAATATTTTTCATAAATCCCACATAAATTTGAAAAAATAAGATGGGTATCTCAATGAATGGAAACCAAAATTTCATTGACCAACTTTTCCCCTCTTAAAATCTGAAAAGAAAATGCCCCCAAGAATCAAATCAATTATTAGTCATGATAATTAGACCTGATCCAATTAGATACCTGACATCTTTAGTTCCCAATGTGGCATCTTATTTTGGGTAAAAAGACAATAGTGCCAAACATCCCCTTAATCAGTTCTATGATATTGACAAGAACCAAACTAATAATTAGTCAGTATAATAAAGTCTGATCCGATTAGATACCTGACATCTTTAGGGGGCGTTCTACAACAAGAATGTTTTGATTTTCATTTGTTTTTGGAATCACCACATTAGTAAAGAAAAAAAACATAATAACATCATCTTGAACTCTGCTTTTATTTTCAAAGGGAAAATAGGTTGATTTTGGTTCAAAAAACAATACATGTTTTCAGAACCAATAAAAATATTGGTTTTTAAAACAAAAGCAATTTTCTAATATAGAAATTATATCATTTATGAAACATGATGATGAATAATCAAATGAAAACATGCTCTTAAAACTAGATTTAAGAAAATGCTTTTGGTTTCAAATCTAAAAACAAAAAACATACACAACCAAGCTAGTGTTTCTTATGTTTTTGTTTTAAGAAGCAAATTTATTTGTTGCCAATGATAATTGTATGCTAGAACTTAATATTTTGGTAAACACATATTTAATAAAAATGACAAAAAATAATAAATTACTTTTTAGTAAACAACTAAATAATAATAAACTGTTATATGTCGATAAAAGAAGCCTTTTTAACCAAAATTATCTTATATATTGTTTATGAAATTTTTTAGACATAGAATATAATAAAAATTACAAGAAAATATAGGAACTTACATATGTTTTTAGCTATAACCGATTTGGAACTTAATCAGTTTGGAAAATAAGAAGCAACCCCTATCCAAATATTAATTGCGATGCAAACCATGAAACCAGAATCAATGTAATTGGCTTAATCAATTTGATTTCACAGAACGACCCGATCAATTGATAGCAATAAAATAAATTGAACATTTAGATGAGAAGGCCATAAATACCATATGTTCAACGCCAAGCAAAATGATTTCTGGATTAGCTGGATCAAGCCTTTGAAATGTTCAAAGCTCAAACCCATTTTAGGTGTTATAGTACTCCAATCAGGCATTAGAAATAACCGGTGGCAGGTCAGAAACTAGTGCAAAGCCTGTTCGAGTGACAATAACTAGTGTCAACTGCCCCCTTGAATTTTAAGAATTCTCGAAGTTGATTGCTTCAATGCCGATACATGAATATTCAGATTCATCCCTATACTTACATTCATCATCCACTTTGGAATTGGTCTAAACTAGACTTTTATTTTCTGCAAAATGTTGCATTACATCAATCCATACTACATCTGAAATACACATATTCAGGGGTCAGGTTTAATGGCTGGCTGGATTTTAAAATTTTTTCCAATCCCACATGGAAATCAGTTTTTTGGAGATTTTGAAATCTAAAATTTCTGGATCGACCTTGCACTGAATTAGACTAAATTTAAAACCAAAATGAAAACTAATTGTACCTAATACAAAGTCCACAAATTTGAGCTCCTAGAGTGTTCACACCCAATATCTGTTACAAAAACCAAACTCCAACTGAAGATAGCATAATGAGTGAGAAGTTGATTCAGCAGCACTATTTTCCGTAAAATTGCTATCCAATTGCCTTGGATCGTCTGAGATTTTTTAGCCTGATTTTCCTAACAGTTTTCTTACAGAAACACAATGGGAAAACTGATAAGAATCAATTCTTTCAATGCCTAGGTTGAACTACGGTTTCAATGCCTAGTTCCCACCATATGCAAATTCTAGCATCCAAATCTAGGATTATCAGATTTGAAGTCTAATCCATTATCGGACATTTGGATTCCAATGATGGTTTTAGGATAGGGCCCAAGTTAAGCAACTCCTAAGATCAACCTGGAAGCAAGGTTTAAAATATCAATACACCCGATATGCTGGTAAAGGCATATCTGAGTGTATCTTATTTTTTTTAGCATTTTTTTTCAAATCTGGTTCAAGGGGGTCGGTTTAAGGTCTGTCCACCCCCTAAACCGATCGAGACCCCAAAACACCCCCTATAGGGGTGTATTAGGAAGCCCACAATATGGCCCGATATGTATCGATATTTTGAACCTTTCCTGGAAGGTAAATGCATATATGGTAAATGTTATTATATAATATTTAGATAACAAGTTTTATATTAATATATAGATAGAGATGTTATATATATTTTTTATATCAGACTAAAATTAAATAAAAAAATTTAATTTGTAAAAGAAATCATAGTTTTATAATTAACATGACAAGTCTATCCACGTCCTAGGCCTAAACAAATATTATTACGCTTGAGGTGTGGGTTAGGTTAGGCCAAGCAACCTTAAAAATTGTTAATACACTATCAAAATTTGGCTTGAGATTTTTTTTTCCAATTGATTGGGCTACACAATAAGGTAGTCTATTGTCCATAGCACATTCGGTTTCAATATTATCTAAAAGTAGTTAAAAAAGCCCAAAAATGATAAGTGAATGAGTTGCACTTGGTTTGGTCCAGTCTAATTACAAATGTCACATTACTCTTAGGGATGCAACTTGGGTGGGTTGGGTCATGATAAGGATCAACCGAAGCCTAACCCGAAGTCTTAAACATCGAGCTTAGGCTTAGATTAATTTAATTATGAACAAAAAAGTTAATCTATTGATTAATTTGATTATGATTATAGCCTAAATTCATATATTTACTAATGTTTAAGTATTTTAAATATTTAAGTAATATTTGCAAAAAAAATGTAACATTTAATCATTAATAAAGTGAAGTAAATAAAATGGAACACTAATAGATAATATGGGAAAATAATTATTTTATTAAGTAATTAACAATACTTTATTATTTTGTTAAAAATTATTAATATAATTAATCCAAAGTTACTAAATTATTTTTGTAACAAATTATTAAAATAAAGGTTAATTATTTTAAATAACACTGCTTTCATTTCTTAATTATAAGTTTTGATTGTTTCACTTTTCTTTGATAAATCACCTACATCGCACGGTTCTCCACTAATAAAAATAGAATGTAGAGGCACCCACGAAATGCCTCAGTAATAATCCATTAGAACCATTGTAATTGGACATTTATAGAGGCATTTTTTATCAAATGCCTTAATTTGTCTTATTGTCTCTAATTATATACCTTTCCAATAGACCTTACACTATGTTTGGTTTGAAGGAAAAGGTAGGGAAAGGAAGGAAAAGACAGGAAAACCAATACAAGGTTTGTAAAGGTTTTCCTACATTTTCCTTCAAACCAAACATAATCTTAATGTCTCTATGGTAAGGTAGTGGACCTCACGTGGATCCTGCTTGTTCCCACCCCATGAATCCCCTGTAACTTAATACCAAACAAAAAAGAAAAGGCTACCCTGTTAAAAAAGATGAAGGAAAAAAACGCAAGAGATGAAGACTAAGCAGCCCTCCCATGCAACTAGTGTCAACCCTCTGTTCTGAAATATTATAGAAGAAGTAATATATATATATATATATATATATATATAACATATAAGTATTAAAAGAATGTTTCTAGACCAAAATTTTTCATAATGTGCACATATAATAGATATAATCTTTGTAATTATACTATTACCAAAAAAAACTTTGTAATTATACGTGAAACACTTGGTAGGACATACTAATTTCTGTTTAATATTATATATACATTAACTTTATTAAAATACAAATACTAATATTTGAGAGATCATGCACGGAAGGAACCTTAACACATTATAGAAGTTGGCATACTAAAGGATTAGCGTGCAATTTCCAATGCTCTTATGAAGGCATTGCCGAAACTTTCGTGACAATTTATATAGTCAAATAGAATAGTTTGATGTCTCATCAAGCAAAGGCTCTGTCTCCTCATAGTTTTGTTGCACTACTCTTGGAAGCTCTTGAAAGTTTCCCAATCGTATGAGCTCATCTTCCACTTCCTTCATTGTGGGCCTGTCTTCTCCTTTCACCTTTAGGCATTTCCTAGCAAGCTCAGCAACTGCCCTCACCTGGGCATTGTTTGTCTCATTCACAATTCCATTCTCAAGAATTTGGAAGAGACGATTTTCTCTCAAGGAGGAAATGAAATACATAGCCAAACTTTTATGAACCTCAGGCCTATCTAATGAAAGAGGTTTTTCTCCAGTTAACAGCTCCACAAGAACAATACCAAAACTATAAACATCACTTTTATCTGTCAACTGACCTGTATGGAGACATTCGGGGTCCAAATATCCAAAAGTCCCTTGAACCAGTGCAGTCATTTGAGTTTGATCCGAAGGAACGAACCTTGAGGCTCCAAAATCAGATACTTTTGCAATGTGATTATTGTCTAACAGTATGTTGGCAGACTTCATATCTCTGTGAAGAACTGGTATAGAATGTGAATGCAAATGTGCCAGTGCTCCAGCCGTCTCTGTAGCAATTCTCAGGCGGTTTTCCCAAGAAATGAATGGTCTATTTTGCTCACGATGTATGTGTTGAAAAAGTGTTCCATTGGAGATAAATTCATAGACCAGCAAAGGTACCTCCGTCTCTAAGCAGCAACCCAAGAGCTTCACTACATTTGGATGACTGATTTGGAGAAGGATATGAATTTCATTTACAAATTGTGAAATTTGACTCTGATCCATTATCTTAGGTTTCTTAATAGCAACTACTCTATTATCATGTAAAACTCCTCTGTAAACCATACCAAAACCTCCTTCGCCAATAACATGATTCTCATCAAAATTTTCGGTTGCTCTTTTCAGGTATTCTTCTTTAAATATCTCGGCTGGAACACCTCTACGTGAAGCAATTTGATCTAGCAATAAACCACCGTTCTTTTGAAAATTTTGCTCTTTCAGTAGGATAATTCTCCTTTTTCTTATTGTGCAATATAGCAAACAACCACAAGCAAGCAAAAAGAAGATGCCAAGACAAGCGCCTAGAAAAAGAGAAAAAAAATTAAAATAGAAAGAAAAGCGAATCAAGACTATGAATTTAAAGGATATTCGATAAAAAAAGGGGGTTAGACTATGATATGAAAAAGATACTATATCTGAAAAACAATTAATTAACAAACTGGAATCTAAACGTAGTAACCAATTAGGTGTTATTTATCAAAACTTATGGGTGGGTTTTGATTGGTCAAAACTCTTTCCGTGCCATATTTTTTCGACATCATAGATTTTCCCATGGAAATGGGTTGGACTATGATATGGGCAACGTGGCCAATTTTGACTTCCATATAGAGCCCGGGATGCTTCTTGCGGTAAAATCATAAATCAGCTTGTAAGGGTGTCAATTGGACTGGATTTGGTCCAATTTGATCTGATCCAATATGAATTCATTACAAATGGACTAGGTCCAATTCAATCCAATGAATATTTTCGATTATTTTAGATTGATCCAATTCAATGTTCCAATTGTTTAATCTGTTCAAATTCATTTTAATTTAGATTGATTTCAACCTGATCCGTTGACAACTATATTCTTATCTTATATCAATGAATCGCATATTTGAATATTTTGGACCGGATTATTTCAATCCAATATGTCTTATTCGTCCATCCAACACCCTTACCAGAGGAACATGCACAGGTGAACAGTTTAGTCTTCAACTGTGAGTCTGTGACAGAGTGATTGATTGACGAGAGTAAATGGATTGCATACATACCTAAAGTGAATTTAATCACAAGCAACCTGTCATTTTCATCATCGTTGATGTCAGGTAGGCAGCCTTGTCCGTTGATTCTGCCATCACCATGGTAGCCCGATGGGCAAGAACAGAAGTAACCCCCAATTGTATTGTTACATTGGTATGAACATGCAATCAGGCTTGGATCGCTGCACTCATCAATATCTGACGGAGACAGACCCAATCAAGAACATAAAGTGAAACAAAAACGTTTGACTAGTAGAAGAATCCATGCAGTAAAAACTGAGACATACCTTGGCAACCCTGGGGTAAATAAGGGTTTCCTTGATAACCATCCGAGCAGTTGCAGAGATATCCCGGTCGGCCGTTTTTGGAGCTATAACAGTAGCTATTCTCATGGCATGCATAAGTCGTCAGATTTCTCTTGGCTTCTTCGCAAGTTTCATTCCCAACAGCCCAGTCAAGTACTACTCGAGATTGGGTTGCTGTCGTGACGGTTTGGAGATCTGTTGAGGAGAAGTTGTACAGGCCTTCCTCGGTCAGGAAGGCATAGCTACATGGATTGAATTTCCAGACCTTGCTGTGTTTGTCAAAGCTATAAACCTCTACTTCATACTTCATTAGCCCTTTGGGAATGGAGGTCTGGCAACAGCCCATGCCGGCACACGAACCATTAACTACGTGAGTTATATCGCTGCATAGAGATATACACCCACTCGTATAAGTTTGGCCCTTGGTGCCTATGATGTACGCAACGGTGTCACAGCCAATTGCTGTGAACTTGTTACGGGTATCTGAGAAGGTGAATCGTGCTAGCGTGGTCCAAGCCGTGAAGTTGAACCTATTACCATACTCATCGTAACAATCCCAGGCGTTCCAGACGAGGGTGCGTAGCTCGCCGTAGGGCGATATGTCAAGTACAACCAAGTTACCGTGAGGTAAGAAAAGTTTCGGAGGGCTGAAGGAGTGGTTGCATGTTAGGTTGAACTGTGCGTCAATGGAACAGCTATCGCCAATGCCAAAAGGGTATGGAACGCTAACGTTTCCACATTTCTCTTGGCAACCGACCTTGCTGATGATCTGGGCGCCCATTGCTACTTGTTCCAACCCTGAGAGTAAGACTAGTGGAATCAACAACATATGGAGATCAGGCATGGCTGAATGGTTGATCTGTGTTTGGAAACTATGATCTCTCAGATCGACAGATAGATGGTAGTCTCGTTGGATGAAAACCTTACAAGTTAAGTATATAAATACTCGGACAAAACAATTTTCGTCATGAGCTAGGGAGCGAAGAACCTGCAAGGAGATTGGGAAGAAAGTGAGGAGGATTCTTTACTTTGACTAAATTGTACGTGGTACACGTCTTCTTTGTAATAGATCCCAGATAGAGACTGCAGAGAGATTAATAAAAATATAAGAAAATATACGTATTAATTGTTACTATTCATATATAATCTAAAATCCATTTATTAATAATAACTAAAATCAAAGAAAGCTAACAAGATTAACGAGAATTAATAAAAATTTGTCTTAATGAAAAAGTAAACATTTAAATATCAAAATAAGGGTAAAAAACTTAAACCCCCCTTGATCTTACACCTAAACACTACAACCTCCCTTATCTTTTTAAAATGGTGTCAGGCTTCCCCTCCTCTTCTAGCAATGGTTAGTAATCTGTTTACATGTGACGTTATGTTTGGGTGAAATTTTTTAGAAACCCAATTTTTCCACGTTTACTAGTAGTAAAAAAGAAAGGAAATAAGGAAAGACAAAAAGGAAGTAAAATGTACGAGGGAACCAAGACTTGTTGAATCAAGTTCCATGTTCAGCGGTGGTAATAGAAACAAGGGAGATGGGGAAAGAGAGGAAGGATGAAAAGTAAGATATAAAAAGGATCAGAGAAAGGGGAATAAAAAGGAAAACAGTGGTTGATTGAATTCTATTCAAAACAAAGGAGTTGCAGAAAGTTTAAATCTTAAACAAATTTCTAGCTTAATTACAGGGAAAAAAGAATTTATCAAGGGAAATTTTCTTTCGATTTTCCAATTTCTTTTTTATTCAAAACTTGTTAAATACTTCTTTTCTCGTAGCGGGTTTTTATTGGATTGTTTTCTCTCTATATCTCCATTTCTTTGTTTTGCTATTATTTAATTTGTTTCTTTTCAGATTTCTCTAGATGATGAAACAAAATAGTAGATAGGCATCTGTAGTAAGAAAAAGAAAAAGGTCCCAATAAATCATGGGAATCCGATAATGAAGGTAAGGGCATTTCAAATCTTGCTTGCAGCTGAGATCTAAGACAAGTAATACGGGTTAATATGAGCAGGGATTTGACCGTAACCACTGGGAGAGAGACCAGAGTGTCATTTTTCATTCTAGAGTTTGATTTCTCTTCGACATAAATTTTGTGTTAATAGTATTTATGTGTCATTTGGTTACGAGGGAAAAAAGAAAGACAAATGCTCAGCATGATTTTTGGCAAGATAAATTCGTTTTGAAATTAAAAGAAAAAATTATCAATGGCAAAAAAGACTTTTGATTGATTCCATTAGATATAAGTATAGTAGAGGAGGTCTTATACTCTTATTCCATTTTAAGAGGAGAGGAGAGGTTTCAGTATTTATGAGAAATATGAGGGGAGGTTTAAAGTCTTTTACCCTAAATATAATAAAAAATAAATCATAAAATTTTTATTTAAGATCAATCTTTTCAAAAATAATTACATTATTCAAGTTTTAAAAGTATTTAATTGAGAGTACCGCACAAGACTCTCCTACTATTTAATTGAGGGTCCCAACCAAGTCTTAGACTCGGGAGTAAGGACATTCTACGCGTCTTATTTATAACAGATCTGCACACGTAGATACCAGATAGAGGGAAAGAAAGTGAGTTTGGTTTGGTTGACTTGACTTAGAAATTTGGGCAGAGTTCGGCTTCTATCAGGCCAATGCTTTGTAAGTAAGCAATGCCCCACCTTAAATTTATATTTCAACCAATTATGTTAAAGTTTTCTTTCATTAATTCATGTTTTACAAAGTACACTTTTACATATAGGTGTACACATCATAATATTCAACGAATCATATCTCTTGCTGCAAGGTGCAGTGGATGGATCATACGTTTTGTCTAAAGATAACTAAAATTGATGAAAGTTAACAAGACTAATAAAAAAATAATAAACTTTGATTTTTGATAAAATTAATAAAAACGAATAAACTCAGTAAAATCCGCCTCAGAAAATTTAGTTCCACAACACACCTACAATAATCGAAAACTTGTTAGGTGGGGCTTAATAAAAAGTAAAACTATTTATAAAATTTAGTAATTAATAAAAATTAACTTCCACTAAAATATCAAAACTAATAAAAATAATAAATCAAATAGTTTAAATTTGATTTTTATTCTTTTAAGGTCCATTTAAAAAATAACTACATATTCAAGTTTAGAAATTATTTAATTGAAAATATCACAATACTGCTACTTTAATTTTGTTTAATAAAGTAGGCACATAAGGTCTCAACTTATGGTTGGGCGTGGGTTTAACTTTGGCTAAAATTCTAATGGGCTTGTCCCAATGCCAAACCCCAGCTCACAAACAGGTCCACTCCACTCGTAATTTTGTTTTTGATAATTAAAAAATATATCTATTAAATCACAGAAAAGTCAATAAAAGTCCACTCGTAATTGAACCAGAGGCCCCATTGTATACATCTTATTTATAGCGATCCCCACACGTAGGAAGAGAGAAAGAGACTTTCGTTGACTTGACTTGACTTGACTTGACATAGGAATTCACAGGCCAAAATAACCGGGTGCCACCCTTCTCGTTTGTTTTGAACAACCATTAAATAGTCCAAAATTTGACTCATATCATAAGAGGTATTTGTCTTTGCTGAGAGAAATCTTCTTGAAACTTCAAATATTGAAAAAATGAAAAAAAAGATGTTCATGTTACATTTAGTTTGTCAATTCAATTGGTTGTGGATGAAATTAATTAATGCCGCGTTTGAAAAATCTTTTCGCACAGACTGCTCGACTTTTGAAAGCACGGAAGCCCGAAAATGAGTCCGTTTTTTTTTCATTTGATTCGTAAAATATCCTTCCGTGAAAAGATGCAAGGTTTAAAAAGCCAATAGAAGCCCGGTTTTCGTCTTAAATTGAGAAGTTTGAGATGAAGCTTCTTGTCTTTTGAGGCATTATATTCTTCGTTCGTGTACCAAGATGCACACCGTCGCTATAATGAACAGTACCCTATCAATGTAAACCCCTGATTCACCCAGCCCTCTTGTCTTTTGGGTAGAATAATAAAAAAGTATGCACGTTGTTATTAACTGATTTTTATTTGGTCCGTTTTCTAATTCACTTTTTGGGGTGTTCTTTTTTTTTTATTTTAGGAGGGGGGAAAGTTGGTCAATGGGATTTTGGTTTCCATAGATCAAGAATCTCATGTTCATTTTTTAAATTTATGTGGGGACCAAGGAAAGTTTATTTTCTTAGGTATCATTTACCTGCATCCTAGGTGGGTAAATAATTTTTCCACCCAAGGGAAAAGTTGTTAACACTTGAATGGAACAAAAATGCTCCTTTTAATAATGGATTTTTATGGCTAAAATGGCCATTACCTTATTTACCTACGAAATAAAAGAATATGCGTAAATGCATTTACCCGGGTAAATGTTTCCTAGGAAAAACATACCTAGGTAATTGCATTTACCCGAGTAAGTAACTTACCGAAAAGCGAATGGGTATTCAAACCTCACCATTTTCTCTAAAATATGTTAAAATCCTAGGAAATTATACTCTATCATCAAACTCCGTCAAATGAAACAAAACCCTTAAACACCCAATTACTCCAAATTTCACCTTTAAAATCCTTAATTTTTTCGTTTATTTATCAAAGATTACATTTTGATGAATCTAACACTGATGTTTCTGAAGCCTAAAACCCAAGTAAATCATTCTACTAGTTCCATAATCCAAATCCTTATCACTCTACCAAATTTTAATCCAAAATTCCCTCATTTCTCCCTTCATTGAGCTAAAATTCCATTGTAAGCCCTCTCATTAACTAAACATTCATAGTCCAAATCTCCTTAATCTTGGCTTCTTTGAGCCCATCAAATTACATTAGATTCTTGACATCCTAAAATATCTATCCACCAAGTTTCAACCTAAGATTCCCTCATTTCCCCCTCTATCAAGCTAAGATTTCATTCTGAGCCCTCTCATTGGCCACAACTATCCTTATTTAAGGGTTCGTTTAATTCTTAGTCGGAATAGGAATCAGAATTGGAATCAAAATCCTTCGGAATCGGAATCGGAATGGTCCATTCCCATAGTCTGTTTGGTTCAGACAGGAATGAGAATGGGAATTAAAATCAGTAGGAATGGGATTTCATTCCCAAGGAAGGGGCAGAGAATGGCCATTCCCTCAAAGGGAATGTCGCTCCAGTAGGAATGGGAATGGGATTCCGATTCCACCCAACCAGACAATTGGTATCGGAATAGTCCATTCCGGTTTCGATTCCATACCCCTATTCCTGCAAACCAAATGGACCCTAAGATCTCCATCACAACACAACATTCAAGACACCAAAACCCTACCATTACCTTTTTAAACCTTCTAATTAACCATCCACTAAATTGTAGCTCCAAAATACCCATGTTACCCCTCCTATATCCTAATTCAAGTTCTCCAAACTATACCATCACCTTTCTAAACCTTTTGATCAACCTCCCATCAAATCCTAGATCCAAAAATACCCATTTTATCCTTCATACACAAAGATTTCAAATCAAGTACTCTCATTGGCTACCTCTTTCCTAATTCAAGATCTTCATCACAACATAGTTTCCAAGACCCAAAAAACTCACTAAAACTTTCCTAAGCCTCCCAATCAATCCCCATCAAATTTCAAACCTAAAATCCCCATTTTGTCCCTCCAACATAAAAGATTCTAATTCGACCATTTCCATCCTGTGTTTCTCTCAAAATCATAGATCTCCATCACGGCACTTCCTCCAAGACCTATGGACAATGCTAATCCCTTTCTCAACCTCCTGATCGATTACCCATCAAATATCAGACCCAAAAATACGCATTTTACTCCTCATATACAAAGGCTCCAAATTAAATATTAAGTGTTCACATTAGCCATAATTATTCAAATCCAAAATCTTCATCGTGGTACGCC